TCAGGTGCGCTAGATTTCATAAAGCAACTTCTAGGAAAACTAAAGAGAGATATTTACTCTAACACCACCATAACGGAGGACTTTAATACCCCTCTCACAACCCTAGACAGATCATCAGGACAAAAAAATCAGCAAGGACATCCGGAACCTCAATGCGACTTTGGACCAAATGGACTTAATTGATACCTACAGAACACTCCATCCAAAGACCAGAGAATACACATTCTACTCATCACCGCATGGAACGTATTATAAGATCGACCACATAATTGGAATTAAATCAAGCATAAGCAAATTTAAAAGTACCGAAATTCTACCAGGCACCTTCTTGGACCACAGTGGAATAAAAATAATCATTGACACCAACAAGGTCCCCCCAAAACGCACAAACACATGGAGACCAAACAGCATGATGTTAAACAACTCCTGGATCAATGATGAAATCAAAACAGAGATCAAAAAATACCTGGAAACAAATGAAAATGAAGAAACATCTTACCAAAATCTCTGGGACACCGTAAAAGCTGTAGTAAGAAGGGAATTTATATCCTTACACACACAGGTGAAGAAAATGGAAGGAGCACAAATTAACAGCCTAACAAATCATCTAAGGAACATGGAAAAGCAAGACCACAAAAACCTTAACTTCAGCAGAAGAATCCAGATCACCAAAATAAAAGCCCAAATCCAAGACATAGAAGACAAAAAGATAATACAAAAAAATCAATGAAACAAAGCTGGTTCTTCAAAGTATAAAGAAGATCGATGGTCCCCTAGTTAGACTGACCAAGAAAAAACGAGAAAAAATCAAAATAAGCACAATCAGAAACACAAAAGATGAAGTCACATCTAACCCTGAAGAAATAAAAAAGATCACTGGAGAGTACTACATACATTTGTATGGAAACAAACTTGAAAACCTTAAGGAAATGGAGGACTTTCTGACATCACACAACCTACCTATGTTGGAACAAGAAGAAATTGAGACCCTAAATAGACCGATAACTATCAAGAAAATCCACTACGTAATAAGAACACTATCCACCCAAAAAAAGCCCTGGTCTAGATGGCTTTCCAGCAGAATTCTATAAGACATTTAAGGAGGAGCTGATACCAATCCTACTGAAGATATTCCAGGCAATTTAAAAACATGGAACTCTCCCCAAATCATTTTTCGAAGCCAACATCACATTGATACCCAGGCCAGGTAAAGATCCAACAAAGAAAGAGACAACAGGACAATATCTTTGATGAACATAGATGTTAAAATCCTCAACAAGATCCTAGCAAAGTGAATTCAACACTACATCTCAAAAATCATCCATCATGATCAAGTAGGCTTCATACCTGGGATGCAAGGCTGGTTCAACATTTGTAAAACCATAAATGTAATTAAATACATCAACAGATGTGAAAACAAAAACCACATCATTATATCATTAGATGCAGGAAATGCTTTTGATAAAATACAACACCCCTTCTAGATAAAAACCCTCGAACATCTAGGCATACGGGGAACATACCTCAAAATAGTAAAAGCCATCTATGAGAAACCCACAGCCAGCATACTCCTAAATGGGCAACAATTGGAACCATTTCCCCTGAGAACTGGAATAAGACAAGTATGCCCACTCTCACCCCGCCTGTTCAACATCGTATTGGAAGTCCTGGCTTGAGCAATAAGAGAAGAGAAGGCAACCTGGGGTATCCAAATAGGAAAAGAGGAAGTCAAGTTATCTCTCTTTGCAGATGATATGATTGTGTACCTCGAAAACCCAAGAGAATCTGTCATAAACCTCCTTACACTGATAAAGGCCTTTGGCAAAGTCTCAGGATACAAAATAAATGTGCAAAACACAATCGCATTTCTTTACACCAATAATAAACAAACAGAAACCCAAATAAAAAGCACACTTCCATTCACAAAAGTCACAAAAAAATGAAATACCTTGGCAACTTCCTAACCAGAGACGTGAAAGACCTTTACAATGAAAACTACAAAACACTGCTCAAAGAAATCAAAGATGAGATAAACAAGTGGAAAAATATCCCATGCTCATGGATTGGAATAATCAACATTGTGAAGATGTCTATCTTGCCTAAGGCAATCTACAAATTCAATGCAATACCCATCAAACTACCAGCAACATTCTTTTCAGACCTAGAAAAAACAACACAGGAATTCATATGGAAAAACAAACATCCAAGAATAACCAGAACAATCCTCAGCAAAAAAACAAAGCAGGTGGTATCACATTACCAGACTTCAAACTTTAGTATAAAGCTACAATCATCAAAACAGCTTGGTATTGGTACAGGAACAGGCATAGAGATCAATGGAATAGAATTGAGATTCCAGAAGCAAAAACTCAATTTCTCAACCAACTCATCTTCGATAAAGCCTCCACCACCTACCACTGGGGAGAGGAGAACCTATTCAGTAAATGGTGCTGGGAAAACTGGCTGACCACATGCAAAAGATTGAAACAGGACCCCTATCTATCCCCATGCACAAAGGTTAACTCCAAATGGATCAGAGTCCTAAATGTAAAACCTCAAACCATAAGAACCATAGAAAATGAAGGACATACCCTCATGGAAATCGGAACTGTCATCCAATTCCTGAACAAAACCCAAAACCCACAGGTCATAAGAGAGAAGATAGACAAGTGGGACCTCATTAAACTGTCAAGCTTCTGCAAAGCCAAAGAAACCATCAGGAGAGCGGGGAGATAGCCTACAGACTGGGAAAAAGTTTGCCAACACCAGGTCTGACAAAGGCTTGACATCTTGGATCTACAAGGAACTCAAACATGCTGAAAAGAAAAAAACAAACAACCTCATTATAAAATGGGCAAAAGATATGAACAGACACTTCACAAAGGAAGACATCCGAGCAGCCAACAGACACAAGAAGAATGTTCAACCTCACTAATCATCAGGGAGATGCAAATCAAAACCACACTGAGATACCACCTAACTCCAGTCAGAATGGCAATTATCAACAACTCAAAAAAATAACAGCTGCTGGGAGAGGGTGTGACAAAAAGCAGGAACACTTCTACACTGTTGGGAGAGTGTAAACTAGTGCAACCTCTGTGGAAAGCAGTGTGGCGATTCCTAAAAGCTCTAAATATCAACCT